GAATCATAATTTGCAATAAAACCTCAGTGCCTCATGTATATCAGCATAAGTCCCTTCAGTTCCATCAGTGTCCTTTTGGAAAACTGTGGGTCATTCCTGCTTTGGATTTTATCATATATCTCCAAGTCTAAATAACTTCTATTCATTTACATCAAGAGTCTATTTTGAAACACTCATCTTTGGCATATTAGAAATTAGTAATGCGATTGCCTTTGGACAGATATAACCCTTATCAGATGCTAGTTTTGATTTGCCCAAATCTTGTGATCTAGACAAGTAATTCTTAACCTTCGCTGCTTGTTAGAATTATCTGGAGAGCTTAAAGTAACAACAAAAGCAGAGTATATGCCCTGCTCCCACACCGATTAAATCAGAGGTGAAGTCTAAGGCACTTTATTTTTTAAGAGCTTTCCACTAATGTATATCCAGAATTGAAGACAACTGATAGAGATGCTTAGTGTTGAGTGGCATTCAGCATTAATGGAAGCCTGATATTGCACATTAACAGCAAAGTACAGAAAAGTCATAATGGAAATCCCATCAATGTTGGAATCTTTAAGTGATCAGGGTTGATAAGAGAAGATTCAGAAATAGTCTGAAAAGATCAAAACATCATCTTCCTATTTCTAGGCTCTGCCTCTGTAAGGTTCTCAACTTCTTAATCTTCCATTTTAAGATCTACAACCTTATTTTCAATCTTTATTTCTGAAAAGGTGCTTTGAAAAGTTTTAAAATCATTTATTTGTAAAACATTACCCAATGATAGGAAGCTATTTATAGTTTTTATGGTTTTTCCTCAGTTTTTTTTTCTTATCCCTTCTATTTAGGATATTAGTTCTTGACTCTCAAACATTTTATTTTAGATAATTTCAGTTAAAAACTCAGAATTTTACATTGAACCTGAGTTTGAACACAGTTAGAAAAATGCTGGTCTTAAACTGAACTGGCATGGCCAAGCCACCTAATCTCTTTGACTCTCCATATCGGTCAGTAAAATTGGAATAACAAGGGCTAGATGCAGTAGCTCATGCCTGTAACCCCAGCACTTTGGGAGGCTGAGATAGGAGGATTGGGGAGGTCAAGGTCAGTCTGCCTGGGCAACATAGCAAGATCTTATCTCTACAAAAAAAAAAAAAATAGTAATAATACTTCACAATATTGCTGAGACAGTGAGAACTTATGTATTAAATGTCATTTAATACCAGGGACCTAGTCAACATTTAACACAAGTTAAGAATTGTTTTTGTTGTTGTTTCTGATAAAATCTTGGTCCTCTTTCTTCCTTTTTCCAGTGAACAAATTTTTCTGGGTGCCTACTGTATTACCAACATTGTGGTAAGTGCCAGAAAAACAACCATGAATAGGATGCTATCCATGTCTTTCGTAAGCTTTCCTCGACGACTCTGTTAGAAGCATCCCAAACTAAAACCTACTGAGTGGGTCCTTACATAGATACACATGCACTCACAATGATAGGATTACTGTCCTTCTGATGAAGAATTCCTCTACTTTATGTTTTATTCCTAAAAAGAACTCTCTTCTATCTGCATCATTAATTCTATCCTTCTTTTCAATTCCCACCCTACCCATAGATATGATTTCTGACATAAAATGTTTTGGGAAAACTATCACTACTGTGGAAGAATCTAGTTCTGTCATATCCTCCTATTCTGTGCTTTCTCTGAACTCTTTTTTCCATGTTCTGTCAAAATATCTCAGGGAAACCAGCTCAATTCTTCTCAAATTCCTAATTTAGCCTACCTCTAGCTACAGAAAAATTGAGTATCACTAGATAGCCCTGGGGAAGGCTATCTATTTTTGCCTTTTTTTTTTTTTTTTTTTTTTGGCGGGGCGGGGAAGGGTAGTCCTCTCAGGAACAGAAAGGAGGTGAACACAGGTTGATGAATGTCTACCTTTCATCAAGATACAGTTAGAGGGGATGAGGTTGTAGTTCATCAACTGGGAACCACTTTCCTGTGAGACCCCAACATTTTGCCCATTCTTACCTTCCTGGAACCCCATAGATGAGGTTACTGCCCTATTATTCTGGAAGTGCCCTGAATCCTAAGCCTTAGGATCTTGAAGGCATGACTACAACTACTCTCTCTGCCACGGTTCTCTTCTCATTTTTCACTAAAGCCCATTAGACCAGGTCTAATGAAGTTCAGTTTTAAAGGTCAACCAACTGTTACACATTTAACATCTCTCAAGTGTGAGATAAGATTGTAAAATTACCTCCACTTGACATGGATAATTTATCTGTATTTTCATTTGTGTTTTTTATTTTTTTGCCCGCCCCTCACTCTTCATAGGATTGGAAAAATTGGACTTTCTTTCCAGTCAGTCTCTTTTTTTCTACCCTTAAATGTAGGTATTTCTCTGTCCTATTTGTTTTACATTACATTTACCCCAAGACTGACTCAAATTTTCATCTCTACTGCAGAGCTTTTTCATAATTTCCTGTCCCATATATCTTTTTGCTCATCCAAACTCACTTTGGAAGTTCCATTAGCATATTACATTTGCTACGTCCAAAACTGAACAAAGTATCTTCTTAATTCCTACCCTGAATCTGTGCTGCTTCCTGTATTTCTTGTCTTTGTTAATGTTATCACTTTACTCATTTGTATTAGTTTGTTCTCATGCTGCTAATAAAGACTTACCAGAGACTGGATAATTTATAAAGAAAAAAAGGTTTAATGGACTCACAATTTGACATGGCTGGGGAGACCTCACAATAATGGCAGAAGGTGGAAGAGGAGCAAAGGCACGTCTTACATGATGGCAGGCAAGACAGCATGTTCAGGGGAACTCCTTTTTATAAAACCATCAGGTCTCGTGAGACTTATCCATGACCACGAAAACAGTATGGGGGAAACCACTCCCATGATTCATTTATCTCCATCTGCCCTGCTCTTGACACATGGGGATTTTTACAATTTAAGGTGAGAGTTGGATGGGGACACAGCCAAACCATATCACCATTCATCTCCCATTCTTCCCTTTCTCTCACCAAGACCGTTGTTTGATTCCACTTCCTGGACTTTCTTGAAATCATTTCACTCCATCCTTTGGCTCCCCTCATCTCATTAACATCCATCACCTTTACGGGGGCTTAAAAACTTGTAATTTTTCTAAAACAGAAATTTGATTATGATCTTTCCTTTTTTCTTGTTTTTGTTTGAGACAGAGTCTCGCTCTGTGGCCCAGGCTGGAGTGCAGTGGCTCAATCTCAGCTCACTGCAAGCTCTGCCTCCTGGGTTCATGCCATTCTCCTGCCTCAGTCTCCCAAGTAGCTGGGACTACAGGCACCTGCCACCACACCCGGCTAATTTTTTGTATTTTTAGTAGAGACCGGGTTTCACCATGTTAGCCAGGATGGTCTTGATCTCCTGACCTCGTGATCCTCCTGCCTCAGCCTCCCAAAGTGCTGGGATTACAGGCATGAGGATTATGATCTTTTCTTAAAAACAGTTTTCTCCATTCCATCTATTTTGGAAAAAAATTGATAATTTCCAAATTCACTGAAAGATGTACAAGACTTCATGAACTGATCTTTAACTGACCTTCGAGTCACATCAGTTGTCATTCTCTCCCTGTGCCTTCCGCTTATGCTGTACTGAAGGACTGATCATGCTTTTTCTTGCTTTTATGGTTTTGCATCTGACATTCACTCTCTGTTTTCCCTCCTGTCTACCTGCCTAAAATGTACTTGTATTTCAAGATTTTGCTCAACAGTGTCATCTCTAAGAAAATTTCCCTAACATTTCTCCTGACCCTCTACGCTGTTTACTTTTTCTTTTTTTTCGAGACAGAGTATTGTCCTGCTACCCAGGCTGGAGTGCAGTGGCACAATCACAGCCCAGTGCAGCCTTAACCTCTTGAGCTCAAGCCATCCTCCCACCTCAGCCACCTGAGTAGCTGGGACTACAGGCGTGTGCCACCACATTTGACTAATTTTTGTATTTTTTTGTAGGATGGGGTCTTGCTATGTTGCCCAGGTTAGTCTCAAACTCCTGGTCTCAAGTCATCCTCTGGCCTCAGCTTCCTAAAGTGCTGGGATTATAGGCATGAGCCACTGTTCCAAGCCTGTGTAGCTTTCTTTGTCTCCTGTCATAACACATATCACACTGCTTTGTGACTGGCCTCTGACTTCTTATATTTCAATTTTGCTTCTTGAAGGTAAGGGCTATCTTTAATTTTGTAACCACAGCCTAGCACAACATTTGACACATAATTAATTACACAACTGTCATTGTGTGGTTCTGTAACTTCTTATATTCTTTTCAAAAGCTTAAGCGGTCATTTCGTTTTTTACATGAAGTTCTTAAAGCAACCAAAGCTCAGAAATATTGGAATCTCACTTTTATGAGCAATATATGCCAGAATTGGGGTTATCTTTTGGAGCAGAAGTGTCCACTCCATACTGAAAAGAATATAGAATTAGAAATAGTATATAGAACTAAGTTCTGCCTATTTTGTTTATTCCGCTTAAAATTTCCTGCCAAAAACCAGAGAATCCATCTTGGAACCTGGTTTTCTTATTTTAAATTTGGTGAGAACTTTGGAAGAGAAGTTAAAGAAAGTGTCAAAAGTTAATTTTCATTGCTATAAATGATATTTTCTTTAAAATGTATTTAGACCATAGGAGGAACAGGCATTTTCCCTCCCCTTTGTCCTTGCAAATTTCTTGACTGGCTATCATGGCTCATAGTATGTAATCGTTTCCTGAAAAGTCCTATTTTTCTTTTCCTTTGTTCCTGTTGTCCTATATTAGGGTTTAATAAACTTGCTGTCCCTTCTTAGGGTCAATTGCAAGCAATATTTTATCAAACCAAATTCTACATTTTTAACTTAATGACCTCTATAGGCTCCCTAGAGACACTGCAAGTAAAGCTAATGAATTCTCTTTTTACTATTAGAGCTTGTATTTCTGTGAGCTATTAAAACTAGCTGTTATAAAACAACAAATTAAATGCCACCGATTTTCTTGTTTTTAGGGGTTCCTTCAGGATTCTCAAGTACTATTGGGTCAGAAAATCTGGGAGTATGATAGTTTACTTACTGATGAAACTGCTATATTACCATCATTGGTTAAGCTGGAGTACACCTTAGTTTGAGAGTAAACTATATAAAATGAAGGCCACTATTTTAGGTGGATGCCTGGTAGTACCTATCAGTATACCCTTGCTTCCTTATGGAGCTCTCTTTTTTGTAATTCATTTAATGAGGTCCTTTGATTCCTTGGTTATCAAGTGAAGATATTCTTTTTTAACTCAAAATATATTTATAAAATTAATTTTATAAATAGTGGATATTAGAGTTTAAAAAGAATGTATTTTTGAATGGAGACGAATATCAATATTTTGCAACAATTAAATCGTAACAATTATTTTCTTCTAAAAGTGTAATTTTCTTGAGGATGAGATATCTTTGTTTTCTTGTTAACCATAAGAGTACATTGGTAGCTTGTGTTCGGTTGTTGGTTAAATGAATGAGTTGAGCCATGCCTGTAGGACTGAATAACTGCTAATACCATCTACCATTTCTGTTTATAGGTACTACCATTTAAAGATACCTTCTTCTCAGCAAATCTATGATAAAAAATATAAGTAACAGAAGAAATAACTGTTATTTGTCAAGTGACAAGCTTTTAATGTCAGAATGGCTCACCTAAAGCGACTAGTCAAATTACACATTAAAAGACATTACCATAAAAAGTTCTGGAAGCTTGGTGCAGTAGTTTTTTTCTTTATTATAGTTTTGGTGTTAATGCAAAGAGAAGTAAGTGTTCAATATTCCAAAGAGGAATCAAGGATGGAAAGAAACATGAAAAACAAAAACAAGATGTTAGATTTAATGCTAGAAGCTGTAAACAATATTAAGGATGCAATGCCAAAAATGCAAATAGGAGCACCTGTCAGGCAAAACATTGATGTTGGTGAGAGACCTTGTTTGCAAGGATATTATACAGCAGCAGAATTGAAGCCTGTTCTTGACCGTCCACCTCAGGATTCAAATGCACCTGGTGCTTCTGGTAAAGCATTCAAGACAACCAATTTAAGTGTTGAAGAGCAAAAGGAAAAGGAACGTGGGGAAGCTAAACACTGTTTTAATGCTTTCGCAAGTGACAGGATTTCTTTGCACCGAGATCTTGGACCAGACACTCGACCTCCTGAGTATGTTGAAGAATATTTATTGTTTATTCTTTATCATCAGGCTTTGCAGGGGACAGAGGGGTGAGCTAAGGAAGTTGCCTGTTCTTTAGCTACTCTAAGGCAGAAAATCAGCAAATACTGTTTATTTAACCTGTTGTATTTATTTTTTGCTTATAATGATTGAGGCTACATATCCCTATTTATGCTTGGTGAGGCAGTACAGATATGAAAATTATTAGCTTGGAAATTAGAAAACTGAATTCTAGATCTGACTGCTATCCACAAGGAAATCCTTTATTCCTAAATACTGTAGCTTTCTCATCTATTTAGGGGGAATTACTGGACAATTTTTATGGGAAATATAAAAGGTAGAGGAATTGTTTCCATTTCTCTGTGTATTTCTTTAGAATAAAAATGTTTAAAAATATGCCAAGATTTTGGAACTGATGGATAATATTTTATAGATTTGTAAACCAATTCACAGTCTTTGTGATTACTTTGACTCAAAGTCTTTGAGTACCTAATTATATTTCAGAATGCCCTATTTTTTGTGAACAATCCCGAGTAGCTGGGATTACAGGCACTTGCCACCGCAGCTGGCTAATTTTTTGTATTTTTAGTAGAAACGGGGTTTCACCATGTTGCCCAGGGTGGTCTTGAACTCCTGACCTCAGGTGATCCGCCTGCCTCGGCCTCCCAAAGTGCTGGGAATACAGGCGTGAGCCACTGCGCCCGGCCCACCCTCAGCAGATTATTCATTATTATTATTATTATTGCTATCATTATTTTGAGATGGAGTCTTTCTCTGTCACTGAGGCTGGAGTGCAGTGGTGTGATCTCAGCTCACTGCAACCTCTGCCTCCCGGGTTCAAGCGATTCTCCAGTGTCAGCTCCCAAGTAGCTAGGACTACAGGCATGCGGCACCACTTCTGGCTAATTTTTGTATTTTTAATAGAGATGGGGTTTCACCATGTTGGCCAGGCTGGAGTGCAATGGCACGGGTCTCCGCTCACTGCAACCTCTGCCTCCCAGGTTCAAGCGATTCTCCAGTGTCAGGCTGCCGAGTAGCTGGGACCACAGGCACACAGCACCCTGTCCGGCTAATTTTTGTATTTTTGAAAGAGACGGGGTTTCACCATGTTGGCCAGGCTGGTCTCGAACTCCTGACCTCAAGTGATCCTCCCACCTCAGCCTCCCGAAGTGCTGGGATTATAGGCGTGAGCCACTGCACCCAGCCCCTCAGTAGATTTTTAATTGTACAAGATAGGCCAGGTTTGGTGGCTCACACCTGTAATCCCAGCACTTTGGGAGGTCGAGGAGGGCAGATCACCTGAGGTCAGGAGTTCAAAACCAGCCTGGCCAACATGGTGAAACCCCGTCTCTTTTAAAAATACAAAAATTAGCCGGACAGGGTGCTGTGTGCCTGTGGTCCCAGCTACTCGAGAGCCTGACGCTGGAGAGTTGCTTGAACCTGGGAGGCGGAGGTTGCCGTGAGTGGAGATCTGTGCCATTGCACTCCAGCCTGGGCGACAAGAACGAAACTCCATCTCCAAAAGAAAAAGAAAAAAAAAAGTACGAGATAAGCAAACTGGAAGCAAACAATGCCTATGTATTTAGCTTTGCTTTCTGGATATTAGAGAATTACATTTGGCGGTGAACTTGAAGGTAACTTTTGGTCTATTATTTCACTCAGGTTTTTCTAGATTTAGGATTATCAATACTGGATCCAACTATATGAGTCCCTTAACGTTGAAACTGTGTAACTTAGATTTCTGTTGAGCTATTCTAGTCTGATTGATTCAAGTTTAAGTTGCTTATAATTTTTAGATGAATGTGTAAAGAAACTAATATCTATAAAATATTCTAGCTGTTATAACAAGGCACATTATAGTTCCTTTTATATAGTAATAGATTAGAATGCAGTATTGCACTTTACTGATTTGAGGAGAGTTTTTGACTGAAAGTCATCTACATTAAAAATCAATAATCATGATTTTTATTCTTTTGACATGACAATCAGTGACAGTGACAGCTCAAAATGAACTTTTTTCTCCCAATATAGCATTAAGAAGCTGCAATAATTTTCAATAGTGTTAATCACTAAGTAAGTGAAAAACAAGCACATTAACAACATTTTTTGGTTGGAGTTGAAGATTTAATTATTTCTTACTTTGGACAGGGTTTGTACAGGTGGTAAAGATTTGTTTTTTGACTTCATGATCCACCCGCCTTGGCCTCCCGAAGTGCTGGGATTAAAGGCATGAGCTACTGCGCCTGGCCTGGCCAACATGGTGAAACCTCATCTCTACTAAAAATACATAAATTAGCTGGGCATGGTGATGCACGCCTGTAGTCCCAGCTACTTGGGAGGCTGAGGCAGGAGAATCGCTTGAACCCGGGAGGCGGAGGTTGCAGTGAGACAAGCTTGCACCATTGTACTCCAGTCTGGTGACAGAGCAAGACTCTGCCTCAAAAAAAAAAAAATTTTGTTTTGTACTTCGAATGTAGCCAGTATCAGCAAATAACACGTTTTCTGAAGAACTGCTAATGTTTTCCATGCTCATTAGAAATATAGATCTAGTTTCTTCCAAAGCCAGATGGTCATGTGACTGATAATTTAGGCATGTTTCCATGTGCCAGGTTTTTCAAATGGTTTGACTGGGATGATACAGTTGCTTTGGCAAGTTATTTTAATTGCACTATTTTAAATGTGTAAAACAATTTTCAAAGCATACATTTAACATGTTAATTGTTTCAAAAGGAATGGAGTTTATGAAAGTATATTGTGAAATTTTATTAATTATGTTAATAATATAACATGACATTTTTACTTGATATTGGTAATTATCAGTTAAGCAAATAAATCCTAGTTTAAACTGATGGAAAATTTTGCAAGATTAAAGTGATAACATTTTACTAGTATGAATTTTTGTGAAATTTTATACTTTAAATCTTCAAAATCATTTTATAATTATCGATTAATACTATATTAATTAACCACACAGCAAATAAAGGTAGGAAAAAAATCTTAAACTAGAATTTCACTTTCTCCTCAAAATGCTTATAACAAATCATGAGTTTCCTCTTTTTTTCTTTAAAAATAAAATACCATAGTATGGAATTTTTCGTAATTTTTCCTTCTAGTTTATGTTGGTTATAAACTTTTATGGGTTCAAAATATAAGCTTATATTTAGTTATTTATTTCTGTGTAATTGTGGTTCAAGTGTGTATATGAATAGTTTGTGTTTGAGCTTTTTTTTAATTGGCAGTTTATCCAAAATTCAATTTAGAATAAATAATTTTATTTATGAATGATGAAGGTGCCCGTGCACCTGTATCATGCTTTGAAATCATGAAGAAACTGAAGAGCAGTGCCACTTTCACTCAGAACCCATCCTCTCCTTTTTCTAATCTGTTGTTGACATCTTCTCTTGATATTTTGCTCCAATCCAACTCCTTTTTTATCACTACAAATATTCCATTTGAAAGACTTGCTGTTAGAAAAGGGTATCAGAGACATTCCTATTGAGGTATGACTATGAAAGTAATTAATGGGATAATTTGTGTATCTTTTTTTAGGGTGGTTTTCTCAGGCCCCTAATATCACACTGGAAGCTACAGTTTCCCCATTGGCCCTGGCAGAGCAACTGAAGGGTGTTGGGCTCTTATCTCCATGAGTAAATTTAAATAATATTAAGAAGAACATAGGTTTTACAGTAAAGCTATTTTTTCCCTTTTGATTCTGTATACAGATTAAGTAAATTGATTCAATAAGTCTAGGAAATAAGAAACCTATATTACATACTTAGGTAAATATGTAATTAAAGATGATCTTTATAAAAATGATTTAATAGGCTGGGCACAGTGGCTCACGCCTGTAATTCCAGCACTTTGGGAGGCCGAGGCGGGCAGATCACAAGGTCAGGAGATTGAGACCATCCTGGCTAACATGATAAAACCCCATCTCTACTAAAAATACAAAAAATTAATTGGGCGTGGTAGTGGGCGCCTATAGTCCCAGCTACTTGGGAGGCTGAGGCAGGAGAATTGCGTGAACCTGGGAGGTGAAGCTTGCAGTGAGCCGAGATCACACCGCTGCACTCCAGCCTGGGCAACAGAGCAAGGCTCCGTCAAAAAAA